GCATATTTCTAAGTTTTCCCACTGCTTTTTAAGAATTGACTTAAGAGCTCTGCTCCTCCCTCATCTCAGGACTGTGTGCAAATCAGGGATTTTGTTATACTTGAAAAAGCCAATGCATTTACTTCCTGCTAGTTTTTTTTTTTTTTGCTTTGTTTGCAGTTATTGTATGCATGGATGGGTAACACTCAGTGACAAAAGACTAACAGGAAGAGCAGGTGAGGATCTGTGCCAAGTTCTGTACAGAACATGGCATTTGGTGTAACGTACAAACTAGAGGACAGAGCAAACTAACCTGTGAATGTAATTTTCACGATTGGTCGGCAGGTCATAATTTATAACCAAAGAAACTTGCTGCACATCAATGCCACGAGCCTGGAAAACAATTTAGGACCTTTAATGCAAGTCACAATCTAAAGATTACATTACTTATCACTTGCTTTTGTTGACTACATTGTTAGTGACGAACTACAACTGTGTAGTCCATAGTGGAGCATAGTCTTTTCTCTTCCAAGAAGCTCCAGTAGTTCAGGCTACAAGAACCTTCACTGTATTATGAAGCTTTTGGCACCACACTGAAACAAAAACATGTTCATTGTGAGGTAATACTCACCAGCAAGTCAGTAGTGATCAAGACACGGCTTGATCCCGATCTAAACTCTCTCATGATAACATCCCGCTCCTTCTGGTCCATGTCACCATGCTGCAGTTAAGAACATGAGAATTACTATGGGGATTCCAGTACTCCAGACCAGAATACTTTCAGAAGTAAGAGGATGTATGAAACCCAGCGTCCCTACCTGCTGTGGGAACTAAGCAGGTAGGGATAGAAGGAAACATTTTTCTTTAAGCAGGGGGAACGATAATACAGCACTGCACAGCTATATCATAACTTATCCTGCTTTTATTAGCATTGCTTTTCAGTATGTACCTGACGTTTCAGAAGTTGAGTGGGAAGAACAATTCTTACCAGAGCTGAGACTGTGAAGTCCCTGGCATGCATTTTTTCTGTAAGCCAGTCCACTTTTCTCCTTGTATTCAGAAAGATAACGGCCTGAGTAATGGTCAGTGTCTCATACAAATCGCAGAGAGTATCCAGCTTCCACTCCTGAACACAGCAGAAACAAGAGAAGTAAAAAATTCTAAAGCCATGATCAATAAACCATGTCCTACTGTGCACCTATAATTAACATGACCTGGAAAATTAGAACAATACACAAAGTTTCTGCAGCAACTGTTGCACTAGATCTTCAGACACAGGACAACGGACATTAAGAAAGAGGTCCACCCCAGTCATTTTCGATCCAGTGCATCATTTTTCTTCTTCTTGCGTGTACTCTACTAGCATTATTACAGAAACCAAAGCTCAGCCTCAGTTTCTGTAATTTTAGCACAGTGCTTTAACAAGAAGGTACCATTTCTGAACTTTCCCAACCAGAAGCGTAACTGGTACCAACCTCTCTTTCAACATTAATGTAGAATTGCTTGATACCCTCCAGAGTCAGTTCTTCTTTCTTCACTAGAATACGTATGGGCTCTCTCATGAACTTTTTGGTCACTTCCAACACATCCATTGGCATTGTAGCTGATAGCAGCACAACCTAGAAAGCATTGCTCTGTGTTAGCACACACCAAAGGCATGACATTAGTTTCTGCTCCGTCACTCTGTTCAGGAAAACTGGAACCATTAACAAAATCAGTGACTGCATTGAGGCATTTAAGTCACAGCACAAACCTGACCTTCTGTGAGGTGAAGGCAGACAGGAAAGCAACCGAGCAGTTATCAGCTACACCTGCAACCAAACGTGCAACCATCAATTCGATCTCGTAAGATTCTTACCTGAATGTTAGTGCTTAATTTTTGAAAGATCTCATAGATTTGATCCTTAAATCCTCGGCTCAACATTTCATCAGCTTCATCCAAAACAAACATTTTGATCCATTTAGGTGCTATCAAAAAAAAAAAAAAGAGAATACTTTGTGAAGTTTCAGGAACATACAATACAATACTTCATTACTGGGTTCTCAGAGACAAAAATCCAATCCATACTTACAAAGGTAGCGTCTGTTTAACATATCAAACACACGGCCCGGAGTTCCAACCACAATGTGTGGAGCTTCAGCCTGAAGTTTCTGCATTTCATTGCGAACATTTGTGCCACCAATGCAAGCATGGCATGTTGCTCCCATGTAATCTCCAAGGGCCAGAATTACCTTTTGAATCTAGAAATAAAACCCTTCTGTGAGTAGCAGCTACTGGCACATGCAGTGCTACATCATTGCTGCTTATGGACTGAGAAGGATTATGTGACTTTACAGATTATGGGGAAGACCTGCCTCTCATTTTGCCCTACTGCTCATTATTTAGGTGTTCATTAGAAACTGCAAGTCAGAGGGACAGTTGTGAAGTTAATTTTCACCCTTACTAGTTTTAACTACCTAAAGGCGATTACCAACTACTGGTTAAGTAGAAAAGCAAGGCCTCAAAAACAGAGCTGTTAACATCTGCACATAAAGCATTTCCAGAAAGCTTAGGAAAGTGCTCTGCCATCTGTGCCAGGCTTTAAAAGAAGCCTCATCTCAGCAGCACCTTCAGACTAAGTAACACAAGACTGAACCTTCAGTCAGAGGCTCTTCCTCCACTAATCTTTTTTTCAAGAGTTCTTCTGTCCTATCTCATACGTTTAGTTTCAAGAATCTTTACCATAGCACTGGCATCTTGGTATATACTAGTTTTAAAAGCAGAGCAAATTGTACACAATTGATTTTCTACTCTATTTTGAGATCTGGTCATTTTAACCTTAAAAAGCCAGCTTTACTGGGTTACACTAATGATAAAAGTTACAGATCCTTTAAGCTCCATTCAAGTACTCCCACTTCCTAAAACAGAACATCAAGCCCTGAAGGTGACGTGGACATGCGATGTAACATTAAAAAAACATCATAGTACTACAAAAACAATGAAGTGACCACGTGTGCACTGCAGTTTTCATGTTGCACAACTGCACGCAAGTTTCAATAGTTTCAGAAAAGTCTATTTTGTTTCCACTCAGAACACCATACTTGAATAACACTTTTTTTTTTTTTGCTAAAGATGCTTCCTCAGAACTGCATATAGCAGAGCAGCTGCTTCCTGCAGCCCTGTCCCAGCACACCCTCCACATGCAGCACAACTCTTCAAGCAGGCAAAGAACTCATGGAACAGAAGCCAGTTCGTTCCCCCTTACTCAACACAAAAAGGTTCTGAATGGATGTGAGTTACAGCCCCTTAAGTCTGTTTATTGTCTCACAGTTGTGAAACCTGAAACCTATGCAACACACAAGCAGCCTTTTTTTTTTTAAAACTACACTATCAATACCTGTTGAGCCAGTTCTCTGGTAGGGGCCAATACTAGTGCTTGGGTCTCCTTGAGATCAATCTCCAACTGCTGCAGGATGGAAATAGCAAATGTGGCTGTCTTGCCAGTACCTGACTGAGCTTGAGCAATCACATCATACCCTAAAAAAAGTAGGATACACATTTACTGTTCCCACACTGGTCATTCACATTTAGTTTCATTTCATTCTCTTTGAAATAAGTGATCAGCATTACAAGTTCTCTCCATTTCAGGTCAGCCCCGAAAGATGGTGTACCATCACATCACTTGTTCCATAGAGATTAAAAACACGTATAAATGCAGAGATAAGATGAGCGTTATATTCACTTTTTTTTTTACATTTTCCTCACCAATGCGTTATTATTGATGGCAAAGGAATCTCTCGCCTACCTTTGATGCATGGAATAATAGCTCTCTGCTGAATAGCTGAAGGCTTTTCAAAACCATAAGCATAAATGCCCCTTAGAAGGGATTCCTTTAAATTCATATCATCAAAATTGTCGACGATCTCATTCCAATTGCTCTGCAACGAAGAAAACAAACAAGCAAACAACCCGAGTTACTCCATCCGTGGCCCAGCTCCCTCCGTCGGGGCGGTTCAGGAGCCGCGCTCACCTCAATGACACCATCGGGCTCCATTCCCTCGGGGCCGCCATGGTCTCTGCGGGAGAACAACACCGGCGTTAGCGACGGGCCCGTGACAGATCGGCCCAGCAGGTGCTCTGGTTCCGTGCCAGCCGGCCGCCCCGACGCCCTGCCCAAACCCTGGGCACATCGGACGAACGCCTCGCAGCCCCCGGCCTCCTCCCCCTCCCCCCCCCGGGGCACCTGCTGGAGGCGGCGGGGAAATGGCGGCCGCTGCGCAGTGCGAGATCCGCCGCAGCGCCGGGCGTCAGCGCGGGGGGAGGGGGGAGGAAGGGGGGGGGGGCGGGGGGAGCGGGAGCCGCCGGCCGCGCTGCGTTTCCCCCACCCGTCCGCGTCAGCAAGTCTCGCGAGAGCTCCACCCCTGGGATTGCGCAAATCGGGCACCGCGGGCGGCGAGCGAGGAAGGCGCCGGCACAGCGCCCCGAACATGGCCGCGTCTTCCGCCGGGCCCTCAGAGCCGGGGCGACCGTAGGGGAGGGGAGAAACCGGTGGAGAAAAATAAGAGGGGAAATAAAAGCCCGCAACAAAAACGCTGCTCTGTTTTACCGCGCAGCGCCGGATCAGAACTAAAAACAGCCCTTTTTCAGAGGCGGGGGGTCGTAAAAATCAGCAGCAAGAACGAGAGCCCCGAGGGAAGGGGCTGAAGGGCTGAGCGCCGCGGGGACGCGGGATGGAAGCGTCTGGAAGCGGGAGGGGCCGGGGGCGAGGGCCGGGCAGCGCGTCCTGCCGCATCCCGCCCGCACCGCACGGACAAGGGGCCCGGGGCCTCCGCGCCGCGCCGTACCTGCTATAATCCGCGGAGCCGCCTGACATGTTCCGATGAGCAGCGCTGTCCTCAACTGAAAAGGCAAAGCTTCCGCGGCGGCCGCCTTATATACCCGCCCGCTGCCGGACTCGTTTCGCTCCGCTCTGCGCATGGATATACGCCTCACACCGCGGCGAAAAAACGCGAATTCACGCGGACTGAGGCCCCTCCGCCAGCCATCCCTTCCTGCCCGCTCCGCGAGGCGCTCTCGGCGGGTGTTTCTCGGCCCCCGGGGGCCGCGAGGGCGGCGGTGCCTCGGACTACTTTTTCCTCCCCTCGGAGCGCGGAAGGATATTGCAGCAGTGGCGCAGTGACGGCACCGCGCTCCTTCCTCTCGCCCCCCCTCCCGCTCCGCACGGGGTTTCCCACCCCGGCCCTGCTGCGGCGCGGGGGAGGGGAGCGCGGGGCGCCGCGCGGAGGGGTCAGTGCCCGGCGTGGCCGTGTCGTGCGAGCAGCCCGCGCCGGTTGCTTTTAAAGCTCACCCCGTGCAGTCCGAGGATGGCAGGGCAGAGCGGCTCCCTCGGGTATCGCGGGTTCGCCTCCCGCTCCCCACGCACAGAAGCGCCGGCGCTGTGCAGGACGGCTTCCCCGTGTCACCTCGCGCCGAGGGGCCGGCAGAGGGGAGAGGGAAGAGCGGCAGCGGGTGCTGCCCGGCCTGCTTTATGCGGGGGAAAACGGCACCCTGAGGTGGTTCCGCAGAGCCGCCGGGGATCCTGCCCCTTGCTTTCACGTTTTGGAAAAACGTGTTGGTGGTTTTAATGCGTCCCTTGGGTTCTACGGTAGGGTGTTCATGGATGTTTCTGATGTAGGCAAATAATGCAAGTTGTAAGCCATCGTTGGTGCCCTCTTTAATCGGCGCGCGTGAGTCACCTCCGAAACTTGTTTCCATAGTGATTCTATAGGAACAAGAGCAGCGCTTGGAAAACGCGACCCTTTACTTGTCAGGAATGCTGTGCAGAATTGTCTAGAACATCTGCGAGGAGAGGCAGAACGTACCCGTGCTGTGTAGCGTCTGCTGGGGGAACACCTCACAAGTAACAGCACGTGCCAGAATCCGAGCTGAATGGTACAACCGCGGGCCCTGCTGAGCTGCCCTGCTGAGCTGCCCTGCTGAGCTGCCCTGCTGAGCTGCCCTGCTGAGCTGCCCTGCGGCTCCCCTGCCTGCCCGTGTGGGCTGGGAGGGCTGCGCTGCTGCCGGGCTGCCGTTCACACAGCAGTGCCTCAGCGCCCTCCTGAACCACGGCCTGCACCTCTACAGTTTTGTATTCCGCGTTGGTTTATTTGCAAGAACGCGTGGAAAAGCTTTCTTTTTTAGGACGTTTAGGAACGTCGGCCATCGTTTTTCAGTCTTCGAAAGCCCCTTTAAAAAACCTGTAGGCTGCCATCTCAGAAGCAGGTGTAGCGTTGAAAGGTCAGACTTTGCCACTGACAGCACCTGGGACTGATGCTGGGATTTGCTGCATCCTCTGGCTTTGAAGCTTTCTAAGCTTCGTGCTGCCATCTCCATTGAAAGTTTGCTCGAGGCCCGTGTTTGTGTTATCATCGAGCTGAAGTGATACCAGAAAGATATTAAATAATAGCTTTGTCTGTGCTGCTGTCATTAGGATCCACAGCCGCATCTATATGTGCACGCTGTGCACTTGGGTAGATGTCTCCCCAAAAGACAATCTTGGTGAATCATGAGATCTTTGGTGGGAATGAACAGAACGACGCATTTATTAATGCGGGGTAACAGATGGACCAGCTAGTTTAGCAGCTGGGTTTCCAGTCATTACTCATACAGATCAAAGTGAAGAATGATATATCTAAAGAAAGCAGTAGGAGTTGACGCCTCCTGAAGCTGAGCTCTAGTTGAGCAATCCCTTGGAAATTTCAGAAAGCTCCTTTTAGAAATCTCCTACCATGACTTGAACGTACCATGAAGCTGTCACGTACTTCTTGGAAATCCTGGAAGACCCTGAAGTCTCTTCCTGCACTTGTGCACAAGCACTTCCAGTCTTGTGCTGCAGCTGGTATCGTGCATTCAATAATTCCCACAGCTAGCAGGGCAGAGAAACATCGTACACAGTTTATTCAAGGTAGGTCATGCTGAGGATCAAAATGACTTATTAGGGTGTTGTTAGCAAGAGGTAATGTTTTTCAATTCGTCGTTCCCAAAGGATCCTGCCTAAACAAAAGCATGCTGCCTTGGATGTAGGAGTGGATAGCAAAGATTCTGGAAGGTCTCCAGGGGAGAGAAAAGGTCTGAGTTGCAGGAGCCCTGTGCTTGTTATTTAACTAGTCCCAGCGTTTCGTTAGTGCCGACTTATTTTGTCATTCCACTGAAACTGCAATCTAAACATATTAGAGTAGTTTATAAGGTGCAGTATTCTTAATGCACTGAGGCTTGTTTTATGTTCTCTAGTATTTTGGTGTAATTGGACATCCACAGTATGATGATTTTAGTACATCAGGCTGCTAGGTTTGATTTGTCATCCTTTTTAGAAGTTATTTCACAACTTTGGGGTTTTTTTGTTCAGACATATTTGTGCTCCCTGTAGCTGCAATCAGACTTTAGTTATGAAGTCTCCACGATGGCCCTGTTGAGTGAAATGAAAGCGCTTCCAGATGTGGCATTTTCTCTCTTAGTTGAAGATCCTTCTCACTGAGTCGTCGTGCTTTAGGCCAGTAAGGAACATTGCCCAAAATGCTTAAATGAATTAGGAGCCGAGCAAAGCCAATGGGATTTGGGCCACTTTATTTCATTTCTTTGTCCCCTGTGCTCAGTGTGTTCTGGACGTTCACACTTCGTGCCGAGGCCGTAGGGTGGACTGGGCCTTTTGCTGGGCAGCTGACTCACTTGTCTGCAATGTAGGCACCGTGGTTTGTGGCCGTGCTCCCTCACTGCTTTGAGAGCAGGTCTGTGAGCAGCGCTCCTGCTTCACCTCTGCACGGCTGGGTCGCTGAGCTGAGTCCTCTCATCGCCCCCAGTATAACGGATGTTCCCAAGGCAAATGCTCGAAGCAGAAGAATATTTTTATTCTGCCATTTTTTTAATCATTAATTTCTCCGTGTGCTGTGGAGCTCCATGGTCATACTTTCAGGTCTTGAATGCTCTCCTTGCTGAATGATTGCATTATTTCTGACAGTTGTAGAGGTTTGGAACCGCGCCCTGGACACGCCTGCAGCTGAGCTCTGTTCTCTGGTATCTGAAGGACTTTCGGTGTGACCAGTTAAATCGAATAGGTGATACAAATTACAAGCTTTCCATTGACTTCTGTTGGAATGAGAAGTTTGCACTTCAGTATTTTTCCTCTGTAAAGCGGGGAAACAGTACTTTCCTCGGGTTATGTGTGGGTTGGTGTTTGAAAAATGTGGAGATATGTAATGGGAAGAGGCTTAGAAAGCATTTGATAGGGGTTGCCTGCATGCTTTCAGGATAGAGTTTGTTCTTTCTGTTGCAAAAGCAAAGAAAGGGCGATTAAGCAGGTGGCGGCTGCTGATAACATCCGGGCAGTCCTGGGGTTACATTTGTTTTTTAAGTTAATTAGAAGGCTTCTGCACTGCCCTGGAATAGTGTGTCGTGTATTTCCCTGAGAAAGTCTTCAAATAACATTTTTTCCATTGTTGAGAAAAAGGCAAATTTAATTGTATATAGAAAGCACTTTTCCCTTTGATATTGGCAAACCATCTAAGTTTGTTCTCGTGGTTGTTCAATTTGGAATCCCCTGAAGATGCCTGAGATTTTTAATCACTGAGCTGATTTCACTTCAGTTTTGAAAGAGCCATACTGGCTGAGCTGCAGCTGTATTGAATTTTAAGTACCTTTCCTCAGTGATTAAACAAACCTCCAAGAAATAGAATGGTCCTTTCAAGGAGGACCCAAAGCCTATGAGCTGCGCCAAGACAGGAGCCCCATAGTGCCTCAGCAGCTCTTGGATTGTACAGGGCTATATGCACAGCATCACAGTATGTAAAGCCTCAAGAGATCCAGCCCTGTGTGTGTGCTGAAGTCTCCATCTCCTCCAGCAGAGTGTCTTAACCTGTAAAACGGAGTATTTCGCGTTTAAAGAGCTTGTTCCAACATGTAAATGTTAGCAGTAAAGATGGTCGTTAATAAAATGAGCTGTGTCGGTAGAGGTGTTGCCTCGAGGTAAACCTTGGCTTCTAGAAACTGAAAGTTTTCCACAGAGCTTTAATTTTTGTAAGAAATTGGCATCTGTTTGTGTCTGGAGGTAAGCACCGCTCAGATTTCCCGAGTTCTGGTTCAGCAGTGCTGGCTTAATAGGAGAATACAGATGAGTACTTTCAGCCGTGTGCCCTCATTTCATCTGCCTGGAAAATGAGAATTATAATCTCCTATTTTAAAGTGTCCCTTAGGTTGTAAACTGTTTAGGGACTGATTGCTTTCTGTGCTCTGCTTCCATCTGCTTTTGGTCATTCCGGGAGGGGAGCTGAGGTTTCACCTGGGTAAAAGGTTTTAAAAAAAAAAAAAAATTAGTGGAGGTAAACACTGAGGTGTGTTTAATCACTTTTGTTTTGTTAATCCTTGTGAGATTTTTGTTTTGTATGAAAAAAATGTAAATATTAGGAGGCTTTCCTCTCTCACAGCATTCCAGATGCTGTTATCAGGACTGGGTCTGAAATGTGTGCCTAAAGCTGCTGAGGAGCTCACTTGCTACCTTTTCTCCTCTTTTTTTTGTCGTTTCTTTTTAGGGTTGCAGAGCACCTGTAGGGCAGCCCTCAGCTCCCATGGTTTGTGCTGTAGCCCACCTCAGAATGCTGTTCTATTTTGTTTTGTATGCTGAGTAAATGCTACTGGCAGAAATGAATGTGTAAGGTGCAAGACAGTGAAAAACTTGTTCTTTTATTTTCAGGTGGTGCCCCAGTACAGCTGCCCAGGTTCTCCCAGGATGCAGTGATGCAAGCACAGCCAGCACACAGGTAATCTCATTATTTTGGCTTGGAACTGCTACAGCACTGCTTCTGCTAACCCAGGGCTTCACGACACTGCTGTCAGCAGTGACCAGAAACCTTTGTTGTTCACACAGCAGGAAACAGAAATGACAGTTCATGTTGAATTACAGAAATATATTGATTTATTTCATGCAGATCTGGGAAGTGGTTAGATGACAATTTACTGGCTTTTTTTTTCAATAAATGAAGCAAATGTATGTGCTGCTGTTGAAAGTCATTTTGTCTTGTGCTAGGTACTGCAATAGCTATAGCTTTTGGGAAATCTTCTGAGTCTGATACAGTTTTTGTTTTTTTTTTTTGTTTTTTTTTTTTTGCTATATTCAACCTTAATTTGTAGCTCATTCTGCTGATAAAAGTGGAAAAAGTAGGAAAATTCAAATATGTAAGTGAGCAGACGTTACAGATACTCAATAACCACCCATTACTACAGTTTTCTTTTTTTGCTCATTTGTCTTCTGTAGCTTGTGTTACCATTTCCAAATATTTCCTGATATACGTTGCCATGCATTGCAAGACTATGAGCTCTTGTATAACATGATTCCTTTTGTTTTAGCAGGAATTTAACAAAGCACTGATTTACTTTATTTGTCAATAATAAAGTCTGAATTACAAACTATTTATAGCTTTCTGGATTTATGTGGATGTGCTATTTTGTGCATCTTAAGCTCAGAGTTTTTCTATTCTCACGTTTCTGTATGAAAAAGCAGAGTATCAGGGATTTTACATAGCTTCAATTCATTACACAAAGGAGCTCTCTAGTTTCTTTTACTATTATTCATTTGCATTGCTAACGTTCATCTTCTGGATATAGAAGTTTCCACCTTTGGGAGCACATTTTTTTCTGAAATCACATCAGAACTGCGTTTGTTAATTCTCACTGCATTGGAATTGTCTTTGCTAATTTACTGGGCTAACAAACTGCATGTCTTTCTGCAGAAGGAAAGAGAAAGAAGCGCGAACCGTAAAGAACTGCTGCCTCAGAGCTGCTGTTGCCATAGAGCTTCTAATGAGGAAAAAAACTGCAGCAAGGATTTCTGCTGCTGCTGAAGGTAAGATGAGGGCACGCAAAGGCTGTAAGAGGGGGTGGGGAGGCAGAGGGAGGGAGAAGAGGAAGAAAGTCTGCGTCCTTGCTGTCTAAAAAAGGAAATTCAGTTTCAGTGTACACGAGCAGAATTGCTGGTGCAGAAGAACAAAGCTATCTCGGTTGTTTAGGGTAGCAGGAGTGATGAGCAAGCAAGCGCATTCCTATGCTTTCAGGAGGAAATGCTGCAAAGAAGGGAGGAGAAGCAGAGCTATCGTTTAGAAAATACTGCTGCTTCCAGATACCTGCTTCTTGGCACTGTGCTGGCGTTAGGATTGTTCCCCAGGGTAAAGACAACTGTGAAAAAATCAGAGAGATAAGCAGGAAGTAAAATTAGTGCTGAAAATGTTCAGCATACGCTTACAAATTCTGTGGCTCTGTATTAAAATGTGTTACGTTCAGCAGTACAGTACTGTGAAGCCTTTCAAAATGCAACTGCAATTGTGGTTGTTTTTTTACAGTGAAGTTGTTACGATAAATTAATCCTTTATCAGTCTTTAATGCTGAATACAAAACTGAGATCAGACCTGCTTTCCGTGGAACTTCTTGAACATGGAAAGCTCTGTGGAATAAGACTCTCCATGATCTCTGCAGAATTACCCACAAAATTCTCATCCCAAAAGCTGTTGTCACTGTTTCTGCGTCTGTTGTGTCACATATTGCAGCTTTTTGCTTTTGCTTCCCTGTTCATTCTCAGTTTCTTGTCATTTTCTGACATGACTTAAGCCATGTGCCCTGCTCAGCAAACCCAGCACACCTGCCATGTTTTCACAGCAGGACCCTGAAGAGAATAAAACAGCTTTTAGAGGGTGTACTAAAAGCAATGATAACACTGAGTTTCTTAGCTACGCTGATAGAAGTGTGTTTATATTGCTCAACCACCTGCTCAATGTATTGAGTATGCTTGGAGAGAACAGAATTGTCAGTTTCCTTTGCAATTTCTTAATTTGCACTTTATCACCACTTATCAAATGTTTGACTGTTTCTCCTGGAATTCTGTCTGAAGATTGGCACAGAGTGAGTTTTTCCAGTAGCAGCCTGATAGATTGATCGAGAATCATCAGTACAGGTTATAAATAAAAGTGTATTTGAGATTCTGATTGCTGTCAGCCTTACAGTCTCTCACTGACATGGTTATTCTGTGAGATTATAGCAGTTGTATAAGCCATTTCTGAGTTGAGAATTGCACTGCAAAAGATCTATTGATTATGAACACATCAGTTGCTGTTTCAGAGGTACGTCATGAGGAACAAATGTGTAAGTGTACTACTTAGGAGTTTGACTCATTTTGTGAGTCACACTCATTTTGTCAGTCTCATGCACAGCAGATAGGCTATCTGCAGACTTTGGAACCATTCTTACCTACAGCAGTCCTCAGTGAAGCCAGTGGTTGATGACATCCTATTAAGATTTGCATGGATTCCTTGAGCTAACACATGAAGATGAAGTCTTAATCCATGATTGAGGTAACCCTTGATGATACAAGCATTTAGTTTGATGTCAGTAGGAGGCTTAGTGATTTTCTGCTCCAAAGGGTTACTAGTATCTTGTTGGAGTGAATAATTATGTATCTGAGTTCCACACACCATTAGACTGTGCATTTCAGAGAAGTTCAGTCAGCTTGTGGATCACATTACTTGGAGTTCTTCAGAGATCCCAAACAATACCTTAGTCAAGTATGATTCTATATAATAAACACCCCATATGACAAGAGAAGGTGATGGGAGCTCCTTCAAGCAGGATACAGGCACTGCAGAGCAGTAACAGGTAATTAAGAAAGAAAATTGGCTTTCTACTTCTGCCACCAGAAACAGCTCAAGAGGAATGCAATCTTTATTCAGCTGCTAACCCTTGAATGAGGGTGAGGAGGAGTGGATTCCAGCTCCACCCCTTCCAGTCACTTACGTGCACTGCTTGCATCTGAGCTCCCTGGTGAGCCATGACTTCTCATCTGGCAATTCCACTGCACCCCTTGTAGGGAGTGACTGTCTAAGGAGGAATGAGTGATCCTTAAGTAGACTAAAACTTAGTTGGCTTAGATAAGCACTTGGTGGGAAGTTACTGTTGCACAGTCCTAGATCAACTTAATGTAATTCTACATCTACAAAAAACAGACAGCTAGAAGCACTCATGTTGCTAATTGACAGATTATTCTCAGACAGGGGTAAGTATCTTTTGCATAACGTACATATATTTATTTTGTTGCAACTGATGGTGTCCAAGTACATATTTATTCTGCAAAAGTGAAAACCTACTGTAGTGCTAATGCAGCAATGTCTTGGTGTGTGAAGTGGAATGCAGATACTTTATGACCTTCAGATCAAAACTACTCTGTCTTAAGCTGTGTAAGCTACAACTATCGTGTCTATAAGCTTTTGTGGAAGTTTCAGAGGTGTTTTGATTGTGTATATGTGGAAAAGGGAGTTGATCTAAATCTAGCCTAAACAAAGGAGTTATTTATAAATCTGTTAATCTGTCCATGTGTTTGTATGGAGCTTCGAAGACAGAGGAGATCTTGTACTTCATGCTTATTTTCCTTCTTCTTCAATCTGGGTTATAATGTGAAAGTGTTTAAGAAAAGAATGAAGTATGGCAAAACTTTGCCCAGAACACTCTGCATTTGGGCCAGGAGAAAAGAAAAGAAAAGAAAAGAAAAGAAAAGAAAAGAAAAGAAAAGAAAAGAAAAGAAAAGAAAAGAAAAAGCAATGAAGCCACTGATGTTGCTGTGATTAATGCCAGAACCTGCACCAGTTCCCAAAACTTACAAATGTGAGAGTTATTTTAAGGGTTAATGTTGCCCATAATCACATTTTTTTTTCTGTTTGCTAAGAGGTGCTGCACTGCTCTGTGTCCAGTTCTGTCTCTTTCAAGTAATACAACTCTTGTACAGCACGGGCACTGACAGTGCTCTAAGGCTTGACTTGTAGAAATGCTGAGTAGCTGCCCTACCGTTTACAGCCAGTAGCAGCACTTCTCAGCACAGTTTTAGAATCAGGCGTCTGTGCTCAAATGCGATTTTTCAGTTTAGCTGTCATAAGGCTGTTTAAATGATCACTCTGAATTCACCTAAACACCTGGAGCTGATTTATTTTTTTTTCTTTAGGAAGTATTTTGTCAATGATGGATTGATTTCAGGGAAGCCCGAATCAGTATCCCTTGATTAGTATTATTATTATTCTCTGTCACTCAGTTTGAACTGAAAGAGCAAGTTTACAATGTGAAAGCAGTAGTTCAGTGTTTCATATTCAAATTGCAAATCAGCAATATTGGAATTCATGGCAGAAGGGGTCAGAAGATTGGGTTTTTGTGATCTTTGTTATCATGTTCTGAGAAGGGTTACTCCTTTAGAGCTTATTTTCAGGTTTTTGCTGAGCTGCAGATAAACCAGTTCAGTAGCACCAGAAATTACAGTACTTGTTGCAAGATGCCTTACCCAATTAGGAAAACTTTCACTCTTTCCTTCTTGAAACAGCCTTCCTCCTGCTTTGGAATGCAGTAGAAACATGATTAATAGCTACACTGTACCAAATCAAATTCGTTTGGTGCTTAAATTAAACGGTGGAAACTGAATTGCAAAAATGGAGTTTGTGAACACAGTGAAATCCAGAGTTGTGTGCGAGTAGCTGGTTGTGGAATCGAAAATGTCTGTTTCAGTTGTTTTTAGGAATATTTGAGAAATCTGGATATTGTATTTTGTCTGTCTGTCTGTCTGAGTATTGGAGGCCACGCAGTGCTGCCATTTCTAGTTCTGTAGCCACTTAAGCCCATTTTATCCTCAGAGCTGTGATTCCTGAATTGAGAGCAATTATCTTGATGACTAATAGACTTCAGAAAACAAGGAAATAAATGAGTTCTTACATCTCATAAAATTCCAATGTCTGCTGTTCATGCTCCCCACTTTCTGTTGTCAGGTGCCTGCAGAGCTCTCTCCATGGCTGGTTATACTTTGGGAACATAGCATTAAATGAGGACTGGAATTACAGAGTATAACTAAAAGTTGTGTCTGAATTACAACAAGCATCCAGCAGGCTGCCCATAGCAAAGCTGAGGAGGTTTTTGCATGTCATTTAAATACGTATTTTGTCTCCTTGCCACAGATGGAACAAACGAGTGAAAAGAGTGCTTTAAATCCAGACAGTTCCAAAATGGCCATCAGGTGGCTCTGGTTATCAGCAGTATGAGGAACAGAGGTTTAATTCAGATGTATTTTCATACCCTGGACTACCAGTTCCAATTGCCTCTATGAGCCAGAATGCCATTTCTTTTTTCTTCTGAGGCAGGATTTACTGTTATTTTTTTACATTCACGTTCAGCTTTATTTATACATCTCCCAAATAGTGAGTAACTGGCAAACTTCTTAAGCTCTGTTGATGGAGCTTAGCATTTAATACAGGTTGCACAAGTGTGGTGTTACTGATACAAAAGGCACGCTAATTGTTAAGCCTGCTAAACCTTTCGTGGCAATCACGAAACCCTAATTCGGAGATGGTATTTGGAGATCAGCGATTTAGCTTCAGCAGAAAATCTGCCATCTGCTGGCCGAGGAGGAAAATTACTGGTTGGGACGCACTGGGTGGAGCGATCCAGTGGCTCCGACGGGAGGAGAAACTGGCGGCTCTGAAGAGCTTTTCAGCAGCCAGGTGTTTCAGAGCAGGTCAGTAGTTTTCTGACAGCATGTTTTTCCATCAGAAAGCGCCGTTCTGTTATTACTAAAACTTTCTGTGGAGCACATCAGTGGGAAATAGAAATGTTCCATTCTAAAAGTGTCAGAACGTGCTGTTTGCAAATTCTTACACTGCAACACCGATTTTTAATAAATAATGTGTTTTTTTTTTTTAAAAAGTAATCATTTTTGTACACTATAAAACCAATAAGTCAAAATTGAAATGGTCTTCTTTGCACGAAGCACTGCTGAGGCCTCACATAATCACTGTAATACATGAGAAGTTCAAGGCAGTGAGAAGCGTAGGAGTGCTGGCTCTCACTGTGCTGCTCTGACCGCTCACTGCCTGTGGCTGTGCAGCAGTGCTCTGCAGGGGCAATATGGCAAGGCTCTGCCTGTCTTTTCATTCAGCTGAATCAGAGATGGAAGGATGCTTAGCTTTTCTTGTCTTTGTGTCTTTATTTCTCTTGCTGCAGTTTTTCATGATTTACTTAGATTGCTATATAATTTAAAGAAAAACTGCCCTGAACTTGGAGTTATACGCAAAGAACTCCCAGTTATGCCCAGAATCATCCTAGTCAGTATTCAGGGGGGAAAAGAAAATTAATCAAACAACTAAACATAACTCTTAGGACTTTCCTTTATATGGCTTGGTACGATCAGTGCTTGTCACGTGCTAAAAAGAAAATGTAGACTTTGCATTTTATCCTGCAAGGAAAACAGTGAATGAGAAAATCCCAGGATCTGATTAGCAGGAGATCCAAAAGTTCTTATTTTTATATGTGTCCTTAAAGCAGGGCCGTAGCTAAATTTGATTTCTTAAAGACTGCTAATTTTGTTTTCAGAAAGGACAATGTTTCTGATTATGTAACACCAGTCATGACAAATAAGGAATATACATCTGTGGGATGGCCACTGAAACTGTGTTAAAGAAATGTTTAGATTTATGTAACCAGGCTGAATTTATATTCAGAGATATTTTTCTAATAATAGATTTCATGGCTTCTTAGATACCAGGCAGAGCTCTTTTGGCACTGTGTGGCTGTGTGCTGTGTGATCCAGGGGAGTGCCAGAGCACAGGGCATGGCTGCATCTGTAGAACCCAGCTACAGGAGAAGAGAAGCGTAATGGGGAATGTTTAGGTTCAGAAAGTCTGAGTTCAGTTCAGTTCTGTGATTTGTAGGGCTCTGCTCTCTCATGACTACTGCAGAGGTCTTTTTTTTTTTCCCTTCCTCCCCATCTCCCATTTCCATCTCCCATCCTCTCGTTCATTGGCAGTGCTATCATCATCAGTCACTTGACCCTTCCCTTCTCTGTTTTCATCCTTTCTGTTAAGTTGCTGCCTGCTTTTCTTTTCTTTACCCCTGTCCACTTTATTGCATCAAAGCTTTACCACTTGTAGCACCTTTTCAGTAACTCCATGTGTGACCAGGCAGTGGTTCTAGCAGGTGAACCAATTTAGCATTAAATCATTTATTTGTGTATTTATTGTAGAGTGTTTTTCCAGCTGAATGAATGAACAAATCCACATGTGGTGAAACTGTGTTTTCATTTGCTGGAACTACTGGCTTTTTTAGTCAATGTATTCCACCATAAACTCAGGTTTTGGTAGGTACATGGAATAGAAAACTCAACCCATTCTCTGAATTAAACACATTCGTAGAATGGAAGAGAGTAGATAAACATTGGGTAGCTTAAGTGTTTGCTGTCTGTAATGTCTGAGCACCTCTGCCCCTGCAGATCTCTGTCATCAGAACTCTGCTGTGCAATTAACATACTGTGCTAAGAGAATAACAGAGCTGCTTTATTGAGCGTTTTCTGAGCTCTCCTTGTTATCTGGTTCAGTAGAATAGGCTACTAATGATAGACTGGTGGCAATGTTATTTGGAATCAAGAAATTGACAAGTAAAATAAGTTCCTTTATTTTATTTTCTTCTTTGAAAGATTCGCTCCTGGAAATTAGAGAAATGTAATTTCAGATATCTAAGAGAGGCATCCTTGCTCTGTAGTGGTTCAATTTTGTGTTGTGCATATTTGGTTGAAATTCTTCATGTAATCTACAAAATTCTTTGTTTTTTAAACATAATACAGTGAAGTTGGATGCAGTGGTTTGCTGTATGCTCGTAGCAACACGGGGCAGATGTGATGGTTGTGACTGGAACTTTGGAAGCAGAAAGCTGTTGATTTGCCCAGTCCCATCACTGGACAACTTCTGAATCATTGGTGCCATGCCTGATGTACGTTTTTGCCAAATGTGCAACAGTTAAGCAGGCGCGGAGCACTGATGACCAACTTGAGTATTTCAGCTGACTGAATAGGAGCTTTTGCCTCTTAGATCTCATATATTTCAAAAGGCAGATATTCTCCGGTTTTCTCTGTGGGGCTTTTGGAGAGGATCCTGTGATGCTTGAATTATTGTAATGCATCTGCAAGATCAAGGGGATCTGGTGGGTTTTCCGTTGTAAGATCGACGTTCTCTGCAACAGAAGGCAAGAGATCCTCATTTATGAATTCTCTGGGAAAGCTGGAAGGAATGGGCAGGTCCAGAATTGGTTTCCAGGGTTTTCCAGGACACTTGGGGAGAGAAGATTCTGTGTGATCTGGCATCCCATTAAGTGAAGAGGTATCAGGAGAATGTAGTGGTTCTGTAGGAGTACCGATTTCTGTCCTTAAAAGCTCTGCATTAAGGAGCTCTAATGCTGTTTCAGCAGTGGATGACGGGAGAGTTTCTTTTTGACTAAAAACCCTTTCACCGGACTCCTCAGAAGAGTCAGATTTGTGATGTCCGTGTTTACCATTTTTACCGTGTTTTCCATGTCCACACCTATGGCCCTTCCTGTGCCTGCAGTCAGTTTCCTGCCTGTGCCTTTTGGCAAATTCATGATCCTTTTTCAGTCCGTGCCTATGTTGATGTCTGTGTTTGTGCCCAGGTTCACCTTCGTCATCAGGTCCCTGTCTGTCAT